TGTGTGCTCACCTCCCTGATACAATCGCTGAAGACAAATGGGTGCATAAGCAAATGTGGCGAAGAAAGCTGATGGCGCCCGGCTACCAAAAGATATTCCGGGATCTTAAAAGGCTTGAAGGTAAACAAGTGGCTATCTAGTTCAGAAGCAACAAAGCCCACATGGAAGCACACCAGCCTGTGCGATCACGAGGTGTCGAAGGGATCATGTATCAGGCATCATCAGAATAAAAAATCATATCATAGTGAATAAGGGGGGAGTGTGGAGTGGAGACCCAAAGCCCATTAGTAGGCCACTGGACATCCCATTACAGAAGGGTATTGGGGAGGAGACGAGCCAGTCAGGGTGTGATGTAGCAACGATGACACATACAACTTTCCTCTAGTTCCTAAATGCTTCCTTTCCCGTCAACCCCCCATCATGATCCCAATTCTATCTTACAAATATGACTAGACCAGAGGATGTACACTGGTACAGATAGGAACTGGAAACACAAGGAATCCAGGGTGGATGATCCCTTCAGGACCAGTGGTGTGAGCAGCGATACTGGGAGGGTGGGGGGAGGATGGGTTGGAAAGAGGGAACCGATTACAAGGATCTACATGTGACCTCCTTCCTCAGGGACAGACAACAGAAAAGTGGGTGAAGGGAGACATCAGACAGGGCAAGATATGACAAAATAATTATTTATAAATTATCAAGGGTTCATGAGGGAGGGGAGCAGGGAGGGAGGGGAAAATGAGGAACTGATGCCAGGGGCTTAGGTGGAGAGGAAATGTTTTGAGAATGACGAGGGCAATGAATGTACAAATGTGCTTTACAAAATTGATGTATGTATACATTATGATGAGTTGTATGAGCTCCTTATAAAATGATTAAAAAAACAGAAAAGAAAAAAATCCTGGGTTTTGGCCCAGTAAACACTCCAATCCAGCACTGTATTAATGGGATCGAAGTATTTAAAATACATCGACTGTGTGTGTTCAGAACAATAGTTCTCAGGTACTGAATAAATCCTTTTGTCTTCATTGCTAGTGATTGAATTATATTCAATGAAACCTAAACGGGAACTGCTGCATTCCGCTGCTTCACGCGTGGAGAGCCACAAAGAAGATACGTGACAACTCTGAAGTAACTGGGACATTCCAAATCATCACCTTCATACCCTCAGCTCACTGCCATCAAGGCCATGCCGCTCCCAGGGACTGGCTCTCTGGGTTTCTTTACAGGCACAGAAAGGCCCCCACCGCCTGTATTCTCGATTTCCCACTAGGCTGCACACGCCTCTTATCCCCAGGACGTGTGTAGCCGCAGCGCTCATGCTCAATCCACTTCTCAAATAAACAGCGGACAGGTTTCATAATCACATCAGATTGAGGTTTTTAACTTGGCAAGAGTTTTTGGTGTACTTCCATAAAAGTACCAAACTCATATGTACTTATGGTGTACTTCCATAAAAGTACCAAACTCATGTCTTTAAGATTTTGAAACAAATGGTAGTATTCTATAAAATGCTAGACTATGCTAGCATTTATACAGGGGGGGGCTCCAACAGGTTTTTGGTTTTTTTAAAAATCACTTTATTAGGGGCTCATACAACTCTTATCACAATCCATACACACATCAATTGTGTAAAGCGCATTTGTACATTCATTGCCCTCATCATTCTCAAAACATTTCCTCTCCACTTAAACCCCTGGCATTAGGTCCTCATTTTTCCCCTCCCTCCCCGATCCCCCCTCCCTCATGAGCCCTTGATAGTTTATAAATTGGTATTTTGTCATATCTTGCCCTGTCTGACGTCTCCCTTCACCCACTTTTCTGTTGTCCGTCCCACAGGGAGGTCACATATAGTTCCTTGTAATCGGTTCCCTCTTTCCAACCCACTCTCTCTCTACCCTCCCTGTTTCGCCACTCACACCACTGGTCTTGTAGGGCTCATCCACCCTGGATTCCCTGCATTTTCAGTTCCTATCTGTACCAGTGTACATCCTCTGGTCTAGCCAGACTTGCAAGGTCGAATTCGAGTCATGGTAGTGGGAGCGGAGAGGAAACATTTAGGAACTAGAGGAAAGTTGTATTTTTCATCGTTGTTACATCGCACCCTGACTGGCTCATCTCCTCCCCGAGACCCCTCTGCAAGGGGATCTCCAGTGGCCTACTAATGGGCTTTGGGTCTCCACTCCGCACTCCCCCCATCATTCACTATGGTAAGATTTTTTGTTCTGATGATGCCTTACACCTGATCCCTTCGACACCTCGTGGTTGCATAGGCTGGTGTGCTTCTTCCATGTGGGCTTTGTTGCTTCTGAGCTCAATGGCCGCTTGATTACCTTCAAGCCTTTAAGACCCCAGACGCTGTACTTTTTGGAACAATTCTGTTACCTTTCATAAGCGGTTTCAAGTCCCCTTGCACTTGTTTCCAAGGCCTCTTTCTTCACCCTGTCCCCGTATCTCCGCAGCACTCTCTCCCTCTCTCAGACCCATTCTTTTTTTAAAAATCGTTGTATTAGGGGCTCATCCAACTCATACAACTCTTTACATCAATTGTGTAAAGCACATTTGTACATTCGTTGCCCTGATCATTCTCAAAACATTTGCTCTCCACTTAAGCCCCTGGCATCAGTTCCTCATTTTTTCCCTCCCTCCCCAGCCCATTCTAGTCACGACAGGACCCCATCCCATGACTCTGGCAGCCCCCTTCCCCAAGTCCACATGGCCTTATCACAAAAGCAGAGCTCACTCTAGTCACACCTCATATCTGAACAGTCGAAGGGCATTAGGGACGAACATTTTAGCAAAATGACCTCGGTGTTAAAAGTGGACGTCTGGTCCTTGTCCCGTGGGAAGGGAGGTACAGGGGTGGGGTGGGTGTGTCTGGGTTCAAATTGGGATGCCAAAGACCAACTCCTCCTCCTCCTTCACCACTTTACTGGATGTCAGCTCCATTTCCTGGTTTGGAGGTAGGCTTGAGGGGAGAGTAGGGGAGGTTGGGGATGTACACTTTGCCCTGGGCATAGAATTCTTACAAAGAAGGACCGGTGCTCACAATGGGATGTTGGGCGGAAAACGGGTCTAGAAAATGGATATGACCTGCCTCTCAGCACTGCTTCTGAGGATGGCACGAGGCCCCGTCGTAGAGGCATCTCCTTGTCCAGCACCGCACGCACCTGGTGAGTGCTGCCGTGGGTCCACCGACAAGCACCACCACCAACAAAATCAGTCTGCACGTACATTTCTTCTCAGCCGTGAAGAAGATGGCAACTTTGCTGGAATCTGAGAGCAGCTCACGCGACACAATAGAGCCAAATCCGTTTTCTTTTTTAAGACATATCACTTGAGGAGTTATTGTGGCAACGTGTAATTTCAGATCTTTCCAATCCTAGCAACTGCAATCTTATTACATTTCGTCAGCTAAAACATCCTCTAGGAGTGTGTATTTGCCAAGTTTAACCATTCATCTACTAAGTCGGGTCTTCCTGTCCTCTTATGAGCAGACATACTCCGTGAGGCCTCCTGGCTCCCTCTCTCACAGCAGGGAGCTGGGTCTGGGAATCAGACTCCCTGACGTTGGCTGTCAGGAGCATGCTTATTAGCGCAAGAAAGTCAAGAAATAACAGGGAATAGACTGGAGGAGGCGACTCCCCGTGACTGAAAGCTGTGTTTTAGCATCACATATGAAGGCATTAAAAAAAAATTAATCAGGAATAACACCAAGATAAATGACCTATCTTACTGAATAGACTACATGTGTCTAAGAGACCCAAGAAGATAGAACCATATGCAATGAGGTGAAAATTAACTAAATCAAGCAGAAGCCAAGTTTACAGACAAACACAAACCCAGCCTCCAACGAGCCAGCTGTCCCAGCCCAGCACTCAACCCACCGCCAATTGGGCCACCCTGGCAGGCACTCCAGCACCAGAATAAAAGGCAGGGACAGAGGGGACACAGGCCTGTTTCCGGTCAGTAGCATCTATCAAAAAAGACAAGTGTTGAATAAGTTAATTAAGAAAGAAGAAAAAAAAGACAGGCATTTTGGAAAGACCTAGGCTAAACACGATAGGGGTCTAGAACTTTCGATTTTATATTCCTTTCCCTCCTCCTCGTCTTCTCATCACACCGGTATCCTCAAGCCTCCAGTAAGCAGGAACTGAAAGGTGATGGGAGGTGCCAACACGTCACTGGGTGGCGCAGTTAGGCACGGGACTGGAACCTACCCAGAAGTGCCTCCCACCAGCCTGATGACCCGCTTCTCCAAAAGCGGCCACTGAGAGTCTGAGAGGGCACAGCTCTGCTGTGACACCCAGAAGGGGTGCCTCGGGCGACTTCCGAGACCCACCTGTCCAAACTGGAGGTGGCACGAGCGCAGGCTGCTCAGAATGTCCCCCCGGGGCGTGCACGAGGGCCATTTCTCTCTGCAGTGTCTCTCCACCTCAGAGCTCGAGCGGAGGGGAGAGGGCACAGCTTGTGAGAGGTTATAATCTGCTCGGGGGAGACACTATCTTGGCATCTTGGACAGGGAGTTAACTCTTAATTATTTTAAAAGTAAATAAAATAAACACCAATGAATGATGATTTTTCTGATTCCTTGTACCCGGGTGAAGGAAGTTAATGATGAAGACTGTGTTCTTACTACAAATGCTCATAGACACGTTCTCCTTTGAATCAGGTAACTGTTCACCTGTAAATAACAAAGATGTGTGTTTGATCTCTGGTAAGCAAAGAAGGAGCGACTGCTTGGTTTTCTCATAAGTTCAGAACTAGGAAGATCGAATCTTTATTCCTTTTAACGCGAGTTGGTCATTTTTCCTTACATGCCTTTCTCCAGGTCTGTGTTCTCGCAGCTCCAGAGGACACAGCGAGGACAGGGTGTTTCACATAGAAGACAGTCCCACTTTTACAGCTCAAGAGCTAATACTTCAAAAGAACCTGTTCCTAACCCTCCAACCTCTATCCATAGCACAAATAATCTGGCTTAATCCAAGTGTATAAATAAATTTGTTCTTCTCAAAAGCACTCTGCAAACTTTGTAAGAATGGTTGGCTTTAAGGAATCTGGCAGAGAAGCTAGGGAACCAGTCATGAACCCTCTCTCCAGGTGGAGCCCAATGTCTGCGACCCACGCCGGACTCAGGAGCACCCGAGATGCCGCGTCTGTGCTCCGGGAAGGCTGCTCAGTCGCTCTTCTCTTCCACTTGATAATGCCTGTATTCTGGCTTCAGCTCCCACGTGTTTTTGTGGGCTCCTTTTACATTCTGAACACCAATTTCTCGTAAGATTTCCTTCAGGTAGACCTAAAAGACAAAAAAACGAAGAGTTGAGTGTACAAAGGTAGGAAAGGCAAAATAAAAGTGCCAAAGTATATTTGTAAGTGATAAAAACTGTGAGCCTGAAAGTTCAATAAGAGTTCTCTGTGCAGATACTCATTTGACGCATGCAATGCATGATTAAGTATGTGATGACGTGTTTCAGAGGGGCTAACGTTTGACATGCTAACAACTTTACAGCTTAAAGGATAAAGCCTCCATGCAAACACCGGTTTCACGTCGATTATGACATACAGCATGCAAGGTTTGGCCAAGCGGTGACTGGGCCTTAAAGGTCAATAGTTTATCTCTGGAGGAAAGATGGTATGGAAAATTCACAGATACATGACAACAATTAGTCCACAGGGCCAATGAACTACACAACCACCAGTCTCCACAACCTTAGCATCAGAAGAACTAGATGGTGCTCTGAAAGGAACCATGTTAGAAGGCCCTGGAGGGAGCGAGAGAAATTCGAAACAAAGCTAAAAATCATGAGACCAGGCTCATGGCCAGACAGACACTGATGGGGCCATGACACGATGGCCCTTAACCTTCAGGTCTGGAAGTGAGCTCACCCCAGTGGTAGACTCATTCATCGTTTATGAGCATGAGGGTAGCGTTTGCCCAGTAACAAAGACCAGAGGGCCTAGGAAAGAAGGGCAAAGGAAGCAGCAAGCAGAGGTGATGCAGAGGGGACAGCAATTGATGAGCTGACATAAAATGTGTATGAAGTCCTGATGCAAACCTGGCGATCTGCTCTGTAAATCATCCCTTAATTGTAAAAAAATGAATGGCACCAGGGCTTGGTTCACAATTGGAGCAGGTGTTCCGATTCTAAGGACAGAACATGTTGTTAGGGATGGAACTGTGCTCCCCCCAAATGTGTGTTGTGAGTCCCTGTGGACGAGAAGTCCTGGTGACACAATGGGCAAGCACTTGGCCATTAGCAGTCTGAAGTCACAGGGGCCCCACGGGAGCAAAGACCTGGCAATCCGAAGGGGCAGTTCTCCTGGGTGGTGCAGGGCCACTAGCGGGTGGAACTGACTTGAGAACACACAACACAAGCTCTGAATGCAATCCTAGTGGGAAAAGGTTCCCGTGTTATTCTGATGAGGCCCGCTAAGTGGGGGGCGGGTGTGTGTGTGGCCACAAGTCCCAGACACAGAAGTGAGGACACACAGGTGGGGGAAGAGAGATGGCAGGCCACATGAAGATCCCCAAGAATGAGAAGCTGAAGAGGTGAGCACCTTCTCCCTGCAGGGCCAAGATAGAGAAGTGCCTGCGCCCTCTAGCCAGTACCTGGACTGTAGGCTGATGTGAGCAAACACAGTTCTGCTGTTGCTGAAGCTGAAGCCATCCACCCATGGTACTTCTGCTATACTGCACAAAGAAGCTAAGACACATATTTTAAAAAGACAACTTGTTTGGGGAAGATATACATAAACTCAGAACCCAAGCAAAACCCAGGCATCCAGTCAGGTCCGCGACAGTTCCTGTGGAGGCCGGACGAGTTGGAATCCACTCGATGGCAGGGAGTTGGTTGGTTTGGGAAAGAGCAACGTACGGATATGTGCTGGCCCTGCTTGCCACAGCCCTATGAGGAAGAAATGCTCACAAGGTGAGCTACTAAGGAGCATGGGCATGACTGCTCTTCTGGGCTCGGCTCTTCCAAAGGAAAGACACGAGAGAGGCAGGGGCAGAACTCGGATTGCAGTATTACAGGTCCCCAAATGATAACTCAATTCAGAGAAGCAATGTCTGCAATGTACTCAGCCAACAAGCATGCCCTATAAGCAGACTAATACAAGTATCAAGGGCCCTGCGAGCCAGACTGGACGAGGCGGCGATGAGTTTCAGAATACAAACAGAAGTCTTCCTCTCCCGGAGAGGAGAGCTAATTACTGAAAAGTGATTTTCCTGGGGCAGAACAAATTTATTCAAAATTTCAATTCAAAGACTGGTAACAGTACCAAAGCGGCTCATCCTACCACAAATTCTTAATAAGACTGTTTTAAAATGTATCCCTAAATCCTAAGGGGTAATATATGTAAGAAAATTCACACAAACAATAGTATATAAGCTTTGTGCAAGTCAAAATGAATGCTTCACATATTTCATTAGGTTACTTTAGTTTGAAGTATCTACTAAAATAAAACCAAACTAACAGCCAGTGAGTTGATGCTGACTCATAGCGTCCCTATAGAACATGGTAGACTGTCACTTTTTACGGGAGTAGAAAGGCTGCCTTTCCCACAAAGCAAGAGGTAGCTTTCAATTGCATACATTGCAGTTAGCAGCTCAACTCGTAACCACTACTCTCCTAGGGTTCCTTGAAGTACAGAGTATGTGGAGATTATTATTAGTTTTTGACTCGGATAGGGGAATGCTATATACAGTTGGGAACTTAAAAAACATTTTTTTTCAAATAATGTTTTATTGGCATATCTTATTCATTCCACTATATCCCTTCCCAACACTTGGGAACTTTTATTTCCGTAAAGAGAGGTCCAGTGACCAGGCTTATCTGTTCCCGAGTCTATCTCTATACGAGGGGGTACCCCTCACCCCCAAACAAAACAAAACAAAATGGAAAATGCTCTGCTGGGCAGAGCTTTAGTAGTTTGAAATTTTCCTGCTGGGCGGGCATCAAGCAACTCTTGGGTTAGTGCACCCAGTGGCATCACCTGGGAAAGTTCTCTCTGGTCACAGGTATCCAAACAGATGAGTTTGAAAAATGTTTCCGAGACGGGAACTGCAGATTTGACAAATGTTATGAAGTGTAATGGAGAATACTGTGAAGGTGATAAGGTTGTCTTGTAAAAAAAAAAAATTCAAATCACAGCTTTGTAATAAAAATTCTGTTCTTTTGGGTACCCCATTGTATATTGGTTTTATATGGCTGATGAGGAGACAAGAAGAAAAGTCCTGGTCGGGGCTGTTCCCCAGGTCTCAGCCTGTGGTAACCAGATGTGCTCCATAGTACGTGTGGCAGGAGCGTTTTGCTGAGTGATGCTGAGAGGGCGAGGAAGCTAGAATGCTCCCATCAGGGACCAGCACTGGCACTGCCCCAACAACATTCATACACTGTGATGCTGAGAGGGTGAGGAAGCCAGAATGCTCCCATCAGGGACCAGCACTGGCATTGCCCCAACAACATTCATAAACTGCCACACATACTCTACAGGAGTGCGCCTGTGCACACCCTGAGACTTTTCCACTGAAATTTCATAAACGTTAAGTGGATACGATTTTTTTTACATTTAGTAAAATTGTAAAAATAATTACAAAGCTCTTGTGAAAAAATAATAGTAATTTATAAATTATCAAAGGTTTATTGGGGAGAGAGGGGGTAAAAATGAGAGGCTGATACCAAGGGCTGAAGTAGAAAGAAAATGTTTTGAGAATGAGGATGGCAACAAATGTACAAATATGCTTGACACAATGGAGGGATGGATGGATAATGATGAGAGTTGTGCAAGTCCCCAATAAAACGATTAAAAAATAATAATACTAAAAATAAAAAGCAGCTCTTGTGCAGGAGTCCCAGTGGCATCCGGCCGTGACGGGCTTCCCACTTCAGAACTGCCGCAGACCGCAGAGGAGGCTTGCGGAACACACGCCTCATCAGTGAAAACTTCTGGGGCCGGGCTGAGGAATGTGCCTTTCAAACAAGGCCCACACATCCCCGCCCTCAGATCCCAGGACCGTCCAGTCCAGGCTGTGGAGCACTGCTCAGCACTCTGGACCGTATACTGTGGAGTGCCCGCCTTGCAGCACACTCACACCAGCCTACACTGGCACGGCACTCTGTGTGGGATCTTTCAGACCATCTTTGAAGTATGTGTCATGTGAAATGTTTATGGCGTCTGTTCACTTAGAAGTAGGTTCTCACCTCGGAGCCCAGTGGCTGAGCAACCATCCCCAGACTGACTCTCGGACTTCCTGGGGACCCAGCTCTGTCTTCATTCCAGTCTCAGCAGCTAAGCCCAGCAGGTGGCAGCAGTGGATCACCGCAGCCCTGGTCTCACAGGGGCCACCTGCTTCCCACACCTTCTGCAGCTGGCACTGCCACCATCTGCTACTTCAAATTACTTTTAAAACCCAGGACGCTCTTTCTAACTATATGAGATTCACACACGGGAAATAATAGGTGGGCACAAATGATTTTCAGTGTCAGGGCCCAAAACGGCATCTTTGTGAAATTCCCATGACTGGTTTCTCGTGCAGCCGGCTAAGACCCCTGCACACAGCACTGCATGGCCACAGTGCACAGCCCTTGCCAGTAGCCCACGGAGCCCGGTGCACCATTTATATTGGAGATGCAGAAAACAGGAAGCCCAAATAGGGTCCAACTCAACCCACTGCCAGCGAGCTGATGATTGTGTCCAAACTCAGTGGCTTTCATGTGTGTCCATCCCCATTCTGGTAATATAGGATACAGCGCAATGAGGATTTTTTTATATACCAGGGGCACCCCCCCAAAAAAGAAATGATCATCAGCTTTTTGGGTAGCCCCTCCTATGAATCACTAGCCCCTTCTCCCCTAACCACAACTAAGAATGGCATGAGGTGTGTCAATTTGTGAGGTAACAAGATGGATGTAGGGTCACAAGGTAGTCATGGTAGAGAGCTATTTGGAGGACTGGAGGGTGGGGAGAGGGGTAGGACAGGGTGACAGACGCCCTTGGTTTTCATATGTTCCATACTATAACCTTAGATAAGAAGCACACTGCCGGCGGCGGGGAAGCAGCGGGGAAGGCAGGGAAGAACAAGACTGGAAAAGAGGCACAGGGGAGAAGACACCGGTGGAAGCAGTGAGCACACCCCCTCCTCTGCTGGAAATGTCCCACGGCTTGCCCTTTGGCCAAGGGGCGAGCCTCACAGGGATCCATTCAGGTCTGTTTCCCTTCGGCCCATCTTTCCCGACACTCTAAGCATGCCTGCTGTTTCTACGTCTGCGTGCTTCTAGTTCTTTCCATATGCTC